TTTTAAACATTTTTAGGTATTTAACTTTATTTAAATGTAAATTTTTTATTTTAATTAAAACGTCTTTTACATTCACCGCACAAAGTCCAGAGATACATTTATTAGAGCATTTGTTTTCTCGGTTTCCATTATAATCTTTTTTTTTTTTTAACACAAAAAGAATTGTTAATTTTTACAATAGAATGTATATAGTTTTATTGTTGTTTTTTTAAATTGAATGTAAAATGTTATCTGCTTGTATTGAGGCAGTAAGCAAATGAAAATACGAGCTAATTTTTTGTAACAATTTTTTTTTTGATACTTGTGTTTGAATGTATTATAGAACGTTATTTTATAATAACTGTAAATATATTATGTGCAGGCGTGTGGTGGAGTGAGATAAGGTGGCAGTGTATCAACACACAGTCGTCGGTTCGAATCTCGGCCACTGGCCGTTTGTTCTTGCCAGGTATAAGCCCAAAAATGCCAAACAAAAACGTCTAAGCCCCGATCGATGGAAATAACGGACGTTAAACGTATGAGTGAAACATACAAGAGTGAGATTACCTGAATTAAAAATGTTTTATAATTATAGCTTATTACAAGGAGTTATTGTAAATTCATTTGTTGTGTAAATTGTACTCCAATATTGTATTGTTGGTTTTTTTTGTATGGTTTTAAGTTGCACGGTTATTTTTCAACACAAAAATATGTTGTTGGCAAAGTTAACGTTTCGTTTTTACAACAACTGTTGCTATGTAAATAAATCGCAACACCTGTTAGAGTCGTATACTTATAATTTTAAATGACTAATTTAAAGATCATATTAATTTACATATCTTTGACTTAAAAAAGTAAAAAAAAAATATAACCATAACGATTATTCTACATTTGGCTACAATTCCTATTAAACACATTATAACACTTACGGACAAAAAACCTAAATCTACTACAATGTATTCAACCCAAATTGAGTTTATGTATTTATTTTTATATTATAGCTGTTATAATGTAACATAAAATTGTTGTTTCACTCTTGAGTAAGATTTGTGTAAGAAGTGTACCGATTTATGCATAACTTCATTAATATTATCTACTTGGTCGTCAAGTATTTGATATGGATAGTCACATAGAATATATTTCAAACTGTGATAATTTAGTATTGTGTTTTTGTATTTTTGACTACAACATAAAATATAATATTTACTAATTTATCTAATAAAGCGCAATTGTAGGGGTGGGGGGCATTTGGGTAAGGGCTGCCTGCTGGTTACAGATCTTGAAGCAATAACATTGTTTCAGTAATAAGATGAATTTCAAACCTACCCTAACTTTTTGTTTATTATTTCAAGATGTTTAAGAATATTTTTGTATTGTATGTTTTGTATTTAACTTTATTTTTATTGTAAATTTTAAATATCAAATATAACGTCTTTCACATTTACCGTACAAAGGCTAGAGACACGTTAGTTAAAGCATTTGTTTAATTGGTTTGTACTTTAATCGATGATGTTTTAAAATAAAAAGCATTTTCAGTTTTTACAAGAAAATGTGCATAGTTGTAATGTAGTATTTATAATTAATGGTAAATTTTTATCAGCTTTGATTGAGGCAGTGTAAACAAATTAAAATACAAGCTATTTTTTTGTTGCAAATTTTGTTTTTATGCTCGTGTTAGAATGTATTGTAAAACGTTATTGTTATATTAACTGTGAATGTATTGTGTGCGAGCGCGTGGTAAAATGAGATAAGGCGATAGTGTGTCAACACACGGTCGCCGGTTCGAATTTCGGCCACTGGCGGTTTGTTCTAAGGGGGGCAATTGTCTAGGGTAAAAATTGCCACCCGCACCTCTTTCTGGGGCCAACTTGTTTGGTAGCGTTTAGTCGGCATTAAAATGTATTAGCTAAACTCTAGGGGAAAAATTGCCACCTGCATTATTTCTGGGGCCAACTTTTTTGGTAGGCATTCAAAAATAAGCCCAAAAATGCAAAACTAAACCGTCTAGGCACCGATGGGTGTAAATAACGGTCGTTAATCGCAAGAGAGAGACATATAGTGAATGTATTGCGATTTCCTAAACCAGAAATGTTTTAAAATTATAGCTTATTACAAAAAGTTTTTATAAATTAATTTGTTGTGTAAATTGTACTCCAATATTGTATTATTGTTTTTTTAACAAAACCAAGCTTTTTTTCACAGCGACTATAATAATGTAAACAAATGGTAGGTTCTCCATATGTATCACATACAAAGATTCAAATTCTATGAATCTTTGAATTTTATAATAACAATTTGTATAGTTTTTTTAACTTATTTTTTTATCGAAAACGAGTTGTTTTTCTTAACATATTTTGATTTGCAGTTGCTTTTGTATATAAATGTTTGACCTATTTTATCTGTTGTTGTTTTTTTTTCCACAATCGCTTGCAGTGCTTTTTATAAAATTATAAATAATACATTATTTTTCTACATTTTAAATGGTTTTAAATTTCATGGTTATTTGTCAACATGAAAACATGTTGTTGTAATGACAATAATTCACAACACCTCTAAGAACCATAAACTGCAAATTTTTAACGACTAGGAACTTAATTTACATAATTTTGACTCTAAAAAAGAAAAAAAGTAGGTAAGAGGAAATGTGGAGTCCTCCCGCCCAAAACTTGAAATTTCAGTACTTTAAAAATAACTAAAACTGGTTTTGGTATTCTTAATTAAAATATTTAATGAAATGTATGTGTTACGATTTAAGTTTTAATAGTTGCCATCCAAAAAAGTAAGTTGAGAGGGGGTAAAAACAAAAAAAATTTTTTTTATAATTTAAGTGAGAGCTGTCATATAAGCTGTATATAATTTAAAATCACTGTTTGAGCAAAAATATACTAACCAAACCAATGAAAATGATAATTTGTATTTTTTTTTTTTTTTCAAGTTGACTAAAAAAATATGTTACTTGGGAATATTTTTTATAATATAATGTAATAAAATAATTCATTCTAAAATCCGTTTATAATTATTGTAAAATACTTCTAACAAATTAATATTTTATAATTATAGCTTATTACAAGGAGTTTTTGTAAATTCATTTATTGTGTAAATTGTACTCCAATATTGTAGTTTTGTTTTTTTATTTTTATCAAAACCAAGCTGTTTTTCACAGCAACTGTTGTAATGTAAACAAATAGTAGCTGCTTCATATGTATCACAAACAAAGATACATATTCTATTAATCTTTGAATTTTACAATTATTTTTAGCAGTTGTTGTGAAATAATGGTGTTGGATTATACGCATGTATAACTTGGTGGAAGTTAGTATTTAAGAAGAAATAAAAACACAACAATAATATGATTGACCATAATACTATTAAACATAAAAACACACAGTATATATACAAAGAATATTATAAACAACGTACGTTGCAGTTATAACAGCATCCGTAGAAGTACCAGACACCTTAATATTATGGCTTGTGTATAATAAAATCTAGGTCACAAATGAAAATGGTCCTTGTATCAAACAACTTTTATATATTACATAATGATTTCTATAATGTTCGCATATACTATTATATTTAAAGAGAAACCGTTGCTTGACGTTTTGCTTGCCATAAAATTGTAGATGACCCCAACATGAATAAATGTGCCGAAGTTGATCTCCTTGTTTCTAAATCTCCGGCATAATCAGAATATGTGAATATTCTTAAATCTAAATTATTATCAGATTTATAAGCCAATCCGTAATAAATTGTATGTTTTACGTATCGCATAATGCGTTTGACCATTGATCAATGAGCATTAGTTGGTTTTGCCAAAAATCGTGACACAAAATTGACTGCATATGCCAAATCTGATCTTGTTAATTGTGACAGGAATAATAAACTTCCCACAGCTTCTCGATACGGTACTTGACCTTCTTCTAGTACTGTTGAATCCGCGTGAACATCCAATGTCGTTGACTTATCAATGGGTATTGAAATTTCCTTTGCATCTAACATATTAATACGTTTAATAATAATTCTAGAAAAATTAGTTTGACAAATAAATAATGATCTATCATCTAACATCTTAATTCCCATACCTAGAAAATAATCCATGGTACCAGTTTAACTTATTTTTCTAGTTTTGACAATAATACCTGTATTTTTGTTTTACTGACTGACGCAATGAGACCATCATCAACAAAAATAGCCAAAAATCAATGTTTTATTATTATCATGATTAGTGAAAACCCACGAATCATATTTACTTTGAATTAAATTGAATTGTAATAGGACATTTTTAAACCATGAACTCCAACATCGTCGAGATTGTTTTAATCCATACAACGATTTACGTAATCTGCAAACCCAACCTGAATTGTCATCATATCCGATCGGTTGTTCCATATATAGTTCGTCTTTTAACATACCATAAGAAATTTTGTACCAGTGTCAAATTGGTATAATTCCAATTTCTGAGACGCATTTATGGCCAAAATTGTTCTGATAGATTCAAATATGACTACAGGTGAGAATGTCTCGTTATAATTTATTCCGTGTCTCTGTCGAGAACCTTTTACAACTAATCGTGCCTTAAATCTAACAATATGCCCGTTAACATTGTACTTGATTTTGTAAACCCAGGAACTATTTAACACTTGCTTTCTTACTGTAGTTGGCACTAACGTCCAGGTGTCATTAGTATGCAATGAATTTATTTCGTCGTCCATGTCTTGAATACAATTATTTTTGTACTCACAACTCACAGCTTCATTTTAGTTTATTGGTACGATGTCCAAGCAGTAACAAAATGGGTTAATTTGAAAAAAAATATAAGGACTTAAACTTACTAAGATTAAATAATGGTGAGCAATTTCGACAGATGGGATGAATAGAGGAGGAGAAGTGGTCTCGACAAAGAAAATAAACAGCCTGTATATTAAGCCAACACATATTATGATTAAAAGTAATAATATTATTTATAATAGCGAACAAAAACTTCTTAGTACATAGTACAGTAAATTATTTGACAGTTTTTATATAAGTGTGGCATCCAAAAACATTTAAAAATATGAACAGAAAAAATGTATTATTTATTAAAATAAACGTGGGAGAATAAAAATTATTTAATTTAAACAAGGGATTATGCTTCCCCCTGTCAAATCGTGGTTTTCGTTGTTTACAAAACATATATCGCCCTCATAGAATGCGCATGAGATTTGTATGTGCTCTTTATGACGTATAACACAAACTTCGCCTTCAACATCAGCATTTGTTGTGTATTCATCTGGAAATCTCATACTCCAGAACAATCCTATGATTCGGCATGTGTGTGTAAAATCTATACTGTTGGTCCTATGTTCTGAAAAAAAAGTTTACAAAAGTTAGCCAAACTAAAATTAAGGCTAATTTTATATCCCCACCCAAGAGAAAATGTATATTCAGACACAAAATGTAAACTTTACAGGAGAAAGAAAAATAAAATAACTTATTAATAAATTAATAATTATTAACTTTTTTTTTCTAAACCTATTAACCTTACACACTTTATCATCACCCAACTGCATTACTTGTCTTACCCTTTAACATTCTCCAAAACTAAACACTGTTGTCACCGTTTTACTCCTTCTAATCCTTAGTCCTTTCATTTTAAGTCTCTCAGCCACTTCTACCGGACTTCCCCCACTAACGCTACGTCATCTGTAAACTACATACCCCGAGGCACCTCCCCTGTATATCTTTCGTAATCTCGTCCATTATTAAATAGAACAAGTAAGCACTCAACGCTATACCTGGATGCACAACTACTCTCACACTAAAATCTTCCATTTCTCCAAACACAGTCTTCACTCTTGTACTTGCCCGTACATACATTTCTTCTATTACACTAACTTACACCCTTGGCACTCAATTTTTCTTAAACGTCCACCTCTAAACCTCTAATTAATAAAAAACTAACTAATCAGCTTAAATAAATGAACTTAGAAGGACCCATCTAAGAGTCTAAACGTCATATAAGGTGAATATAAAGGCAGGGATTAGAGCATGAAATTTAAATCTAGGTGAACCCAAAATCCTGAAAATTTAAATTGTGTAATGTTTGTTGGTACGAATATGCATTTTTTCCTTGTAACCACTAATTGTATTATTAGTTTATTATTTACTGTCTCTAATATCGGTTATAAACAATTTTAAAGCTTGTTTCATCTTTTCTCTTCGAATAGCTCCAAGATCATTCGCAGTTGCTCCACGCAAAGCAACTGAAAAATTCAATCAATTTGTTAAACAAAGTAAAAATAATTTTGTAAAGGGTTTTTCTAGTGGCAATTTTGTAACCTCAATTAACACGGCAAAATATCAAATTTAAAAATTACATTATTCGAAAAACAGACTATTAACAAACAAACGAATCGTTAAAATATGTTTTTATTGGAGTTTTAAGTTCACATAATGTCTATTTAAAAAAATAGTTATTCGAAAATCTATTATTTTTCAACCAAATAATAATTTATTCGACTTGTATGTTACTTAAAAAAATCAATTGTTTAATGACAAATTCTATATATTAATCTAGCTAGTAACAGTGATCAAAGTGAAGATAAAGTAAAAAACTTTAAGCAACAGTAAGGTAATTAATTTCAAACCCTTTTTGTGATACTTTTTTATAGTAAGGTGATGTGCGGTAACTAAAATTACTGGCATAATTTTTCACCGACAATTAAAATGCTAATTGATTTAAATATTACATACAAATATCGACTAGTGAATACTAGCTGATACTATTTTTTTATTAAAATAACTAAAAACAAATAATTTTTTTGTTTAATATTTGTATGGTAGATATAAATGGGTATATCGGGATTTGAAGTCAAAACGTGTAACGTTATAAGTTTAAAAGTTTAATGAAAGTATCATTTTTTTGCGTTCAGTTGGAGGTAAAGGTTTTTGAACGTTAAAATATATAGCGTTTAAATGAACGTTTAGTTGTTGACCAAATATTTGTATTATGTTATGTTTAGTTAAATATAAACTTGTAAATTGAACTTTAAATTTTAACAGTTTATTACAATTACGTTACGAAAACTGGATTGACTTAACATAAATAACCGATTGATCATCTAGATTTTAAGCGCTATTTACGACTGCCGAATAAAGTGTAATTACCTGGATATGTAATCTTATCCTTATCAAGGCCTGTAACAAAAACATCATATGCAATAAATAATAGTACGATTATTGAAAATAAATATTTTATTAGATTTACGTATAAGAGTAAATTTAAAACTGAGATTACTTAGGCCAATTAATTAGCTTAATCGTTTATTTATGAAAGATGATTCGTCACAATTTTGTTGAAAATTACAAGTACCATAGATATGATATTGGGCTGTAGGTCATTCCAAAATTTGGGTGCAAAAATCGTGTGACGATTTCACGGCACCAACGTGAATATAGAGATTTAGTGATTGAATATTAATAATGAGTACCAGGGTACTATAAAACACACGTTTTCATTGTCGCCGCCACCACAAGTGTGCTTTGACTTCAGCTACTGAATACGTGCCATACCGACAATTATCAAAAACGCATTCTGCCGCCTCCAGCTACAGTATCAGGGACCATATGCTAAGTTTCATCACACCTATAGGCGGCTAAGACTCGTACAAAAATCCGATACAAAAGGGCCAAATTCGTTCTATTAAAATTCATACTATTAGTTGAACAATAAATTGAAAAATCGGTATTCACAAATTAAAATAAGTATAGCGCATAAGAATCAAACATATTTTTTATATTTTTTTAAAGTAAAAGTGAATGTGAATCACAGTTATTTTTAATTACCTGAAATTTTAACTATCAGTTTTGTAAAGTTTTTGAGAAAACATGTTGAATTTTATAATTACCATATTCTCTGTTTAATTCTAGTTGCAGTTTTTCCTCCAATGCCTTCTCTATAATTTAAACCATAAATTGTTTATATATGTCTACTATTGTTATGGCAAAATTAAAATGCATACGATTTTTTTCATAATTAAAAAACTAATGTAAAAGCCATTTGTAATGTATAATGTATTATAAATATGAAATATGAATTACGGTATTCCAAGTTTTCATCAATACTTCGTTCTGAAATTAAAACAAAAACATTTTGTACTGGTGAAGAACCACCAACTATTTGGAAATATTTTCAATTATTACCAGGTAGTGCAAACATAAAAGTCATTTTCTCTGAAATTATGATTACAAAAAAATTATTTTTAAACGATATTAGACTTAATTTCATGTTCCAATATAAATTTAAATAAAGAAGTCAAGGTATAAAATACACGTTTAATACTAATAAGGAAGTTAAATTTACAAATAAATATTGAGTGATTTAAATTTAATATTTAGATCACTTATAAATTTGCATTGATACATTTTTGCAATTATTGTATCACTTCTAAAACACTTCTTCTACTAGCAAACCTAATCGGTTTGGTTTAAAAATAATAATTACTCATTATTTCTTCATCTAGACGAACAACAAAATATATTATTTTGTTCCTAATGGTTTCTGAAATAAATAAATATTTGATTAAGTTAAAAAAAAATCAAATGATATTTAAATGCGACAAATTATGTACAAAAATGTTCTGAATAGTAATACATTTTGAGTTAAACGTGGCTCATTTAACTAGTGATAAACCGTCTTTGAATTTGATAACACAATTATTATTATATAATATTTATTCTAGATCATAAATAATATTGTAGAAACTAAATTATAATGAAATCATATTATTCGTGTGTGACACTCTTTTGAGAAATATTCTCAATACAATTCACATTATTTGAGCTTATTATACCTCGACTTCACCAGTATTGATAATTCCTGGAGTACTCCGGTAAAAACCATTTTTTTTAAAAATACAATACACAAAAGCTATTTTGGAAACATTTTTTCATAAAGATTATAGTTCATAAAAATACATCACCTTATAGTCAGGCAAATGGCAAGTATAACAAAACCATTAAAATTATTGTATTACTCATTTTTAGTATGTCTTACCATCTGAAATATGTCTGTCTATGAGTAGGTCTGTAACAAATTATGTATAAAAACTGTAAGTCTTAAAACTTAAATGTATTTTGTAAACAAAACATGTACTGACTTGTAAATTTAAGTCTCTTTCTATCTTCTATATTATCTGTAAAAAAATTGAATATTGAAGTTTCTTAGTTATTTTAAACCTAAGCCAAGTACCTTTATTAAGTGTGCCAGGAGTTCTTGGAGTATATGATCGACTAGTACTTGCCAAAACATTTAAAAATGGACAGAGCAGTAAAACAAATAAAATTTTCATTTTCGTCTGTAAAATATAATGCAAATTAAAACATGTTATGTTAGACGGAGATATACTTATAATAAAATCTAAACATTTATTGCAGAATTCTCTATGTACATATTTTAACTCCATGCGGGATTATTTCTATTGCATTATGTTTACTTATTTACATTGCTTTGAAATGTTGTTTAAACTTCTGTTGTTTTACACATTCAGGTAAAAAATCATGGTTTTCTTATATTGATGAAAAGATCAAAGATAAGTTACGATTACAGAAAATATTAAAAAAACAATTATTGACAAATTTATACTATTTTTTACAATACTATTTTCAACAATCATTATTAAGTACCTTAAATAGAACTAAAAAGTAAATAATAAAATAAATAAAAAACTTTTATTAAAACATGTTTTCAAAAAAATATTAAAAAGGTGAACTAAAAATTAAAAAATAATTTTATTATAAGGCCAATTTACCAATCAATTGGTTCACATTTTTTGAAAAATGTCAGTTCCTTTGAAAACAGCTAAAAATTAATTACAATTTTAAATAATGTTAAACATCTTTATATTTTGACTAAAAAGATAAGCATGGGCCCTCATCAAAGTCCAAATTCATTAAGTAATGTAAAATGTATGTGTCACACACTTATATTAAACCAAATTTGAATTACAAAAATACTTACAATATAAAACATTAACATTTTAACTGATAAAATTATTAGGGACTTAGTTGAATAGGGTTCCTATTTTTCTTTTTAGTCAATGGTTAAAAAAATTTCACATTATTTAAAATTGTAGTTGTTTAAGTATTTTTGGATGTTGTTAAAGTAACTGATATTTTGTAAAATGCGCTACAACTGGTTGGTAAATTGTTGTATTAAAATTATTTTTTACTTTTTAGCTCACTTTTTTACTATTTCTTAGAAAAGCATGTTTTTAAAAAAACTTTTTAAATTGAGAATAATGTACTAATAATTTTGAATAGTCGACAACAAGTTTTGGATATCTAAAAATAATTCATACATAACAT